AAGGGAGGGGGAAAGAAAGCGCTTCTGAAAGCGTTACTATAGAAGGGGAAAAGACAGCGCTTAAAAAAGTGTTGTTAAAGATGGGAGAATAGACAACGCTTTTATTAAGAAAAACACTACTAAGGGTATTTAGTAAATAAAAAAGCGCTGCTAAAGGTGGGGGAATAGAGAGCGCTTTTTTGAAAAAACGTTGCTAAAAATTATTCAGCAAATACACTTTAGGCAACGTTTTTCAGGTGAGGGAAAAAGAGAGCGCCTTTTTGAAAAAACGCTGCTAAAAGTGAGCCTATAACAGTGCTTTTTACTTTAAAAAAAACGTTGTCTTTACCTTTAACAGCGCCACTTTAGGATACACTTTTAAGCGCTGTTAAAGGCCAAAAAAAGCGCTGTTAAATATCTTTTTTGACATAGTGAAAGTTGAGACTTGAGACAGTCTTGCATGTCAAACCAGAAACACCACATTAGCAAATAATAGATAATGAAACAGAAAAACAGTAAATAAGACAATAGTTATCCAATTTGGTGAAGGTATGTTTGAGGTTGAGTCCACAATCTAAAAAAAGGAAATTCACTTATAATAATTTAGTACAATTAGGGTTACAAACAACAACAAAACCTCCACTATTTAATGACTTTTTATTTAAGACTCTCCCTAATGATATTAAACATGAGATCCTTTATAACATGTGTATCATCTATGAAGGTTTCACACCATACTATTGTAGCAACACACCATACTATTGTAGCAAAAATCTAGCAACATGTTCATTTAATCATGTTGATAGTATTCATAGTCGATCCAATAGAGTAACCTTTGACCTGATTCTTGATTTGCTTGAATTTTCTCTTTGGGAGAATTAGGATTGTCAATTAAACTCAAATCATCCTTTTTGTTTTCTATCATGACATTCATGACATACCACTTCACAATCCTCTTAGAGGTCCGGTCCTGATAGGCCATCACCCCTTCAAAATCACAAGGCATGAGATGTTTTATCTCACATAAAATCTCCACTTGATTCCACTCATTCTTTGAAAATATGCCCTCCACTTTGCATTCTACATGACAATGAAGAGTATGTACTGTCTTTTTTTCTGGATAAAATATGTATTCACATGAGGAAGCAAGTTGATTAGTCCCATTGATGAGTACATTCAACTCGAAACTCAACACCATGTTGTCCAAATGCTTTTCAGATTCTAAATGACACGTTAGAGCTATCCTGGGGAATTTATTTCGAAACCAAAAGCACACAGATGATTTGTTCTTTTTAACCTCAACATTTTTGTTTGCCTCGAAAAACTGAAATTTAGTGAATTCTGAATTATACAGAGGACTACATACTTCAATGACATCATTGGAGGTGGTATAGCGAGAATACATATTAAGGTAGGACCATCCATGTTCAGAACGAACAAACATGGTATCTTCAAACACTTTTGGGCGCACTTTTTCTTCATTGTCGAATGATCGAAATCCTCTACAACCATAAGTTGTAACTATCTCACATTTGGGAAATCTATAGCTTGGTAGTTGGATCATCCTTCGGCATCCCCTCAAGAACAAACGTTGGAGTCCAACAAGATTTCGAAATGTAAACGGCAATTGTTTTATGGCAGTCTGGTCTAAATAAACATCTTTTATATTCTCCATAACTCCAACTACCTCAGGGAAGCTCTCGAGACGCGAGCAACCCCTTAAATCTAAAGTCTCCAGAGATGGCAAGTTGATTTTGGGAACCAAATTTTCTAGTTGGTTGCATCCTCGAGCACTTAATAACACAAGCCTGTCAAGAAACCCAACAGATTTGTGGATTCTATTTAAATTAGTGCAGTAATCGACACACAGCGCCCCCAAATTCGGTACTCTAGATAAGCTAGGTATTTCGGTTAGGAAACTGCAGCCTTCAAAATCAAGAAAGTTCAACATCTCAAACGCCTACAGAAAAATAGAAGCCTCAAAACTTCAAATAAACCAAACAGAACATGTACAACATATATATTTTTTGGAAAAGAATTCATACCTTGAATGACTCAAACTGTTTAAGGCAGCTTTCAGGCAGGTTGAGTATTGCAAGATTCTTCGGATTGAAATCGGAAGGTAAAGAAGATGATTGATATCCACTCCAATCAAGCACTTTCAGACTATTTGGAAGAATTTGAGGACCTTGGGAAAACCGTCCATTTCTAATTATAAGAATTCTCAAGTTCATCATTTGTCCGAAGGCTTTTCCACACCATTTCACTTTTCTGTCTTTGCGCAAGTCAGCAATTATGACTTCTATTGAATCAGTTCCCTTTCAATTCCAAATCACAATTAGTAGTAGATTTCATCAAATATTTTTAGTATATATTAATCAAAATATAAGGCATACCTTGTTTTCTTCCAAAACATGAAGAATGTCATCGCTAAACCATAATCTACTGCGACTTCCAGGCTCCAATGTTGATTCCTGCCTCACAATTTCTCTGCCCATGTCTTGAATCAAGTCATGCATTCTCACACAACCATTAGTATCAATTTTCATGAGAGATTTGTCAGTAAGCTCTTTTATGCCATGTTCCGCATGAAAACCATGTAAGTATAATATTTCTTTGACATAGTCTATTTCATAAGAATTAAAGAAACAGGCTATGTCTAAAAACATACCCTTTACATCTTCTTCCAAATTATCATAGCTAACTTTAAGAATGGCATGGATGTCTTTATGAATGACTCTTTCATATACATCTAACGAGGATTTCCATACAGATAAACTTTTTCCACACAACTGAGAACCTATCACCTCCAAAGCCAACGGAAGACCATGACAATAAGATACTGCACGTTTTGCAATATCCACATAATCTATATTATTTTCATGATTTTTAAATGCATGACAACTAAACAGATCGAGAGCCTTATCATTTGTTAGTTGTTTAACCTCATATAGTTTCACATTCCCATGAGCGGTCAACAAATTCTTGTCTCTGGTAGTGATTATAACTTTACTGCCAGAGCCAAACCAATCATCTCCTCCTACAAGTGCCTGCAACTGTTGCACCTTTTCAACATCATCAAGAATCAAAAGTACTTTCTTTTTTTGAAGCCTCCTTTTAATTATTGAAATTCCTCTATTAATATCTCCCACTTTTATATCTTTCTCCCCAAGTATTTCAGAAAGTAGTGTTTCTTGGAGGTGCTCAAGACCGTCACGAGATTCCTTGTATCTTATGTCAGCAAGAAAACACACACTTTCAAATTGATTAGCAATCAAGTTATGCACAGCACGAGCAAGTGTTGATTTTCCTATTCCGCCAATTCCATAAATGCCTACCATATTGACTCTATCACCAGACTCAAATCCAAGGAGAGATATTACTTCTAACTTTCGAGACTCCAACCCAATAGGGTTGTTTGCAACATGCAAAGGAACACGGTTGATTTTTATAGAGATCTCATCAACTATCTTTCCAATAAGCTTATATTCTGATTCAGACCTGCATAATACACAAAGTACATGTCAATTGAAACCGAATCATTGAGTGTACTTCAACCAAAACTAATAAAAGAACAAATTATGACTTGTTCAAAATATTTCCTTCAACTAGATTTATATGTTTACTACTAAAGATCTTGTTCAAGATTTCGTGGATGAAGAAATTAAATAGCATGAGAAACAGGTGTGTGAAAATTTTCCCTGTGATAGAAACAAAACACAAAAAGAAGGTAGTGCAATGACTCACCCTGGTTTGAAATGGCATCCGGAAACATTAGCAGCATGTTGCAAAGCATCCCTCCATTTCTGCACCTTATCCTTGTCATTTTTAAACCTCTTTTTATGTTTTTTGAAAGCTTCACCATAAGTTCCAGTTAGGTGTCGAATATGGGAAGGATCCACATCATAAAAAATAGGAAAAAACAACCTTCCATGTGAGTTGGCACACTCAAGAATGGTGACAAGCTCAGTCAAACAGAAAGTTGAAGATGCATAGTCATTGGAGAAAACAGCAATGAAAATTCTCGAATGTTCAATGGCTTGGAGAAGAGTAGGTGTGATTTCATCTCCTTTTTGAATTTCTTCCTCATCAAAGAAAGTGTTTATACCTCTTTGATGGAGAGAACTGTAGAGATTACCAGTAAAGTTGTTTCGGGTATCAGTGCCTCTGAAGCTTAGAAAAACATCATACCTCCAATCACAAGAAAGTACCATGATTAGGAATGCAGAATTAACTTCACTTTTTGTTCTGCTAGATTTCTTTCTAATCTCTCAAGTGTTTCCTTTTCTCAAAGCCTATATTTAAATTAGAGAAGAAAAGTCTAATATGAACAAGACAAAGGAGCTCTAGATGTAACAGTTCCGTGCTTCCTTGAAGTTGGCTACACATTGACTTGGCAATTCACACTTAGTCTACCTAGTGTTTTTAAATCAAAATATCTTGATCTAAGAATATATTAAACTCAAATGTCCTTGTATTTGTAAGATAATATTAATTTTATTTTAGTATCTAATTACACTCAAAATTCAAATATATAAAAAGAGACCCTAATAGCATATAGCATATATTTGATAACACAACTTCTTTGGGACTACTTTTCTTAAGTAATTCACCAACCACTTAATTCAACATTTAATTAAATAAAACACTAGTCATTCTCAACGTATGAAATTGTTTCATTCTCACATATTGACTTTCAAGGCAAGAGTTGTTAGATTTCAATGTAAAACACTTTTGGTGGAAACACAATTACTAATTTTTAAGAGTGCTGACCTAAAAATTAAATAATTAATAGATTTATTTGACAGAATAAAACATACAAATGAAATGGCAACATTGCAAAAAATTTCAAACTGCACTTCACTTTTCGTGGGCTTAAGTTTGTGGAACCGTTTCCGGTCAACTTAGTGCTTGAAACAATTCTAAAAGAGCCGCAGATCAACTACCTTTCACGGTGACATTCATCTTCCAAAACGTGAACAATGTCATCACTAAACCATAATCTTTAGTTGTCCTCTCTCTTATGTCAGCAAGATAGAGACACCTTCAAATTGATCAGCAATCAAGTTTTGCACAGCACGAGCAGTTGTTGATTGGCCTATTCCGCCGATTCCATGAATGCCTACCATGCTGACTCTCTCATTAGATTCAAGTCCAAGGAGAGATGTAGCTTCTAACATTTGAGACTCCAACCTAACTGGCTTGCTTGCAACATGCAAAGGAATATTGTTGATCTTTATAGAGACCTCTTCAACAATTTTTCCAATAAACTCATATTCCGGTTCACACCTGCATATTATTACAGTCTAACATGTAAATTAAAACAGAATCATGGAATGTTTATTCACTTCAACCAAAACTAATCCTATAACAAATTATTACTTTTTCACAAGATTTCCTTCAACTAGATTTAACTGTTTACTAATAAAGAACGTGTGCGAGATTGCATGAATGTGTGAAAAAATTACGGAAAAGAATGTGTGAAAAAATTACGGAAAAGAATGTGTGAATATGTTAGGACAGAAAATCTATTTATAAAAGTGCACACAACACAATCAATTTAACATAGATATTAGATAGATAGATTTGATTAATTACCTCATGTTGATGCAAAGAATCCTTCTACTTCTTCATCTTATCCTTCTCATCTTAAACGTCACCTCATGTTTTGCAAAAGCTTCAGCATAAGTCCCAACTATGTGTCTAATCTGCGATGGATCCACACATCATACAAAATCGGCAAATACAACTTTCCTTGTGAGTTGGCGAGGTCAAGAATGGTGACAGGCTCGGTCAAAGAAAACGTTGAGGATGCATAGTTGTTAGAGAAAATAGCGATGAAAGCCCTAGATTGTTGAAATGGTTGAAGAAGAGTAGGTTGTGATTTCATCTGTTTTATGAATTTGTTGATCGTGAAAGAAAGTGTTTATACCTACCGCTTTGATGAAGAAAAATGTGGAGATTACGAGTGAAGTTGTTACGTGTATTATTGATGCTTCTGAAACTTGGTTGTTGATATACAAAGACCTTCTTTTTCTCGTTGATTTCGTTTCTCTAAATCTCCACGAATAAGAAAGGTCTAATAGAATAAGAAATGATCATGCTTTTGGTTCTCTACTGTGCAGTGTAAATTTTTTTTTGAAAATAACTTATATTTTTAATTTAATTTCTAAAATAATAAATTTTTGGTTTAATTAATTTTTAAGTCCTTTAACTTAATTTTAAATTTTACTGTAATCTCTTATTTAATAAATATTACACTTTAGTCTCTTAAAAACTATTTTGTTAACCAAATTAATCATTTAAGTTAAATGCTAAGAAAAAATGTTAAGTTTGAATGATGTGGCAAAAATCAAAATAATGAGTCAGCAATTCTTTTAAGAAATTAAATTGAAACCTTATAGTTAGTTAAGGGATCTGACTTGAACAACAATCAAATTGTGAGTAAAGTGACCAGAATAAAATTTTATAATATTTTATCATACAATAATATGTTATTTAGCATACAATGTTTTCATATCAACGTAATCCTGAATTTAATGGCATTAAACTAGAACTTTGTTACATTCTTTGATTCAAACCAAAGCCATTAAACTAAAATGATATTAAACATGTTCCAAAATGACATAAGATATACACAGACACGCTACAAAATGTGTACACAAGCACTATTACAAATTTTGATCATTTTAAAGTCTTCTTTTCTTCTTAAAAATTAACTGAGGTAAAAAAAGCTATTTAGATAACACCAATACAACCCTTTTCAAGATCTTCTACTTCATTATTGATAACCAAAACAATTCAATAGTAGGTCTCAGATTTGCAAATAAAATCAGATACACAATTATAATCAACAATAATGAAACCTTCAGTCAAAATTAACACAAATATCACGAGTATTAAACAAATTTTCTACTACTGCTACAAGTATTGACATAAGAAGCTGAACAGAATTTGCTATTGAAATGAAAATTCAATGAGACAATTGGGTATACATTAAAAGCATCATATCTCATGTGTGTTGTTCCACCAGAAATTAGTACAACAGGGATATGGAAATTTATTGAAATGGTAATAGCAGCTGCAAATATAAAAAATAATGAAGCACTAAAATTTAAATAGTACTATGAAATGAGTCAAATTGAAATTTTAATGTTGTATGAAGTTACCAATGTAGCATTTTCAAATGTCTTGGTTAATTTGGGAATTTGTCTCAATCCATTTGCCGTTGTTGTAAGGGCAACTTCTTCATTAGCATCTTCAAAAACATTACACTGATCCTGCATGAGAAATCAATGATATGAGGTACTAAAAATATATGCAAACACTCGTCCAAATATTGGTTAGAATAGTTGAACATCAATTTAACAACACAATATTAATCTACAATTCCTACTGAAAAAATTAAAGTAACCATAAAACAAAGAAATACAACATTCTAACTATAATTTTAAATTAATAAAGCAAAGAAATTCAAAATTCTGACATCAATTTAACAACACAATATTAATCTACAACTCCTGCGAGAAAAATTCATGTAACCATAAAACAAAGAAATACAACATTCTGACAATGAAATAATTAAGCAATAGATCATAAAGACATAAGTGAGAAATCAAACAACAAATTAATGAGCAAATTCAATTTCGAAGAGAAGCAATTCCAATGACCTTGAGATGAGAATCAACGATTTCAATATCAATGCTAAAAATAGAACCATCTGGATGAAACACTTGAGACCGTTAAGTAAAGCGGCAGAGCAGGTGGATGGATGAAAAGCATTTGTTGTGGGCCATAACAGCTGAACGCCAACTATAAGTGCATACTTTATTAATGTTGCGTAACAACGGCAAATACATAATATTTTCAGTATTTTCAGTACTTTCTGGAAATAAAAAATGTCAAAATAAGATCATAATATAACACTGAGTTTTAATTATTTTGTCATACTCGGTGGATTCGTCGTTTAATATGATACTTTTATAATGGCCTCTAAGAGCATCTTTAGTGGGAGTAAACTAAATGGGTAAACTAAGATACTTTTTGTGGGTCCAAAGTGATTTGTAGGATTTAAAAAATTTATAGTTGATTTGAGTAGTTTTTACTTTAACGGTGGTTGTCTATAAGAAACCAAAACTTGACCCCACATTTTATATTTTTTATTCAAGTTACCATTAATTTAATTATTTTAATTAAAATGCATACAATTTTTTAAATAAAATTTACCTTAAAAACTTAAAAATAATATTAAATATATTTTATTATAAAATTAAAAATGATACAAAATTCACAACAATAATACATTAAAAAAATTACATTTTCATAGGAATATAATTATAATAAGGATTCGATTGGTTGGGATCCATTTGATAAATAAATAAGATTGGAAATTGAAAGAAAAAAATTTAGAAGTAAAACTATGTGTAAAAAAATTTAAAGTTTATATAGAATTTATAGAAGGTAAAAAATGGTAATATGACCGTTACTATTTTCAAATATCATACGGTTACTTTAATGTTGTTGGAATATTTGAAATATTTTATTAATATTAAATAATATTATAATAGGTTTCACATGAATAGTTAACGTTAATTATATAGATAATGGGAACTAAATTTTAGTTCATTTGGATGTCATGTCAGCTCTACTATAATACAAATTCCTTATTACTAACGTAAGCTATAAAGAATTTTGGTTTAACAACCCTGCGTTAAAGTTGCTCTAAGGTATTTTAAATTTATACATTGACCCTCGGTTGACCTGCACGTTGTGGCTGATGTGTTCCGACACAAATAGAGACACCTAACAAATCTTCGCAAATTTGGTTATCAACATCAACTTTGTTGTTAACGGCCTTACCATTGATGCGTTGACCCAATAATATATAGACATCTTCCAGTGTGACGGTGCACTCACCGAAAGGAATTTGAAATATGTGGGTCTCTGGTCTCCAATATTCTAACAAAGCTAGAATAAATTTGGGGTCAATTGAGTATGAAGTGATTTTTATCAAATCATCGAAGCCACATGATTCAAGGTATCCATGTATGAATGGGTCTTGTGGTATATTGTTATGCACACGACAATGAAATCTTGTTACTTCCTGACAAAGAATACAAATAACCTCTGTTATAAAGAAAAAATAACTAAGTCATAATAGACAAAACAAACAAAGCAAAACACTTATAAGTTATGCGATATTCTCAATTGTTCCTCTGTGTTCGTTCCCCATGGTGAGTAGAGACATCTTTATGGATTCGAATGAATATAGGTTGTGTTGGGAATAGGTTCTTGCTTGCTGAAATACTTGGCTCGCTAGAAATGTAATATTGTGATGGGAAGAGTTTTTTTAAGACCATATATATAGTTGTAGATTCTTGGCACATGAATTTTGCATGGCTTTTCAACTTTGTCGCCATACCATATGGCGCATGGGAATCATGTTTCTACACACACTCTATCTTATATGGCGCATGGGTGTGCAATTGTACACATACGCCATCCCATATAGTGCAGTTAAATGCGGTAAAGCAGCAAGCAAAAATTAATTTAGTACCCAGTTTTGTCGTTTCCACAGGAATTAGTGTGAGGGAAAGAATGTCATTCGACGATTTCTACATTTCTAAGATTTTTTGTGATGGTATGGGAGTAAAATGCAAAAAGAAAATATATGAATAACTAAATAAAGTACAGTAGAAAACTCTTCAGAAATGACGTTCATTCACCTATCTAATACACAAATCTACCAATCTGTTTTACACAACCTAAATCACTCGTCAATACCCTTACGCATCGCTCACAACAAAGGTTATGTCTAACGCAAATTTGAGAGAATAACCGCATCGCCTCATCGATGATGTCTCACGCAACTCGACCACACGGAGCATTAAGAATCGATACCCACGATGAATGTTAGATCTAAATCTATCTCTACAGTTTAGAACCTAACAGATGTTCATCCTAGATCCAGATTCGAAGAGGATATGTCTACCGCAACTCAAATCCAAACATAAAACGAGTAAAACATGGATAACACCGATAAAGATTTGTAAAATAGCTCGTATACAACACCATGATCAATAAATATACATACTATCAAAGTAAACTTACATACAAACCCCAACAAATGAAAAATACATAGAGAAGATGGAAGACGAAGAGGAATCTCTCGTCGTGTCCATCAAAGTAATGCAAATCCAACTTCGATTCATCGCTATGCAATCTCCAGCTTTGTTTTTGAGCTATTCTACATAAAGAATGTTTTTGATGAAGTTGGGGTTAAAAGTTTCCAACAACATAACCTAAAAAATGTTGAAAAGTGACTTAAATAGGGGTTGAGATGACACGAACCGCGCTAAGCATGCTATGAGGGTGCTTAGCGCCATCAGCAAAATCACAATTCTTGTTTTCTTCATAACTTTCGAACCGTACTCCGATTGACGCACGGTCGGAAGCGTTGGAAAGCTTATTCAATGCTCTATACAACAATGATAAAATATCCTTGCTTAAATACCTACAAAAATGAGATAAATAAAAATTAGAAAGAATGAAATTTATTACAACCGCGCTAAACCTGACCTCACCTAAAATACACTTAAACCGC